CACGATACTTCCACATTGGTAGCAGAAGTAACCTGTTGTTTGATTGCACAGGTGACACCGTGTGACTTCCGGGCGCGGAAGCAGTCTTATTTTCTGATTGAGGCTCATAGTAGTTTTCCGGATTTTTACGACTCTCTCCTTTTTAGGAGGTTCAGAGGAGGATGCAGCATTATCCTGAGGCTGGTCCCACTCCTCGTCGTCCGGTGCCTCTGAGTCTTTGATCATGAGAGGCTTTTGCCTCCTTCGATTCCATCGACAGACGTGGATCCTTTCTGTTACTTCCTCTTTCATAAGAGGGTTCAGCTTTGATTGGGCATGAACGTGCTTCTGATTTTCCGTGAGCCGAGCGTTGATACGCTCACGCTCCTCGAGGAGATGCTCATCGTCGGCCGGCTCCTCGTAGTCGAGGTTTAGTTTACTCCGATTGACTCGGTAGTGGCCACCAGTTTCGGGATCGAAAATAACCACGAATTTGTCCTTCTCCTTTTTAGGAGTTTTTGCTTTCGGAGGTTCTTCATCTGAGCTTGGAATGAACTCGGCTTCTGACATGTGAGTGTCTAGAGTAACCTTGCTCATTCCTTCTTCGAGTTCCTCAGATGGTGTCTTCGTCTTGCTCTTCTTGGAAGAAGTTGCAGGCTCCGAAGAAACAGGTATCCCGGGTGATGTCGGGTTGACATCTACCCTAAGTTCTGAAGAGGATGAGGAAGAGCTTGATTCTGAGCCATCATCATCATCCTGGTTAGGATCTGGTTCTTCGGGCTCTGTCTCTCCGGAAGATGATTCTTCCTTGGGAGGAACGATATTTTCAGTGGTATCCTGAACAGGATCTGGTGGTTTGTGAGAAGTGGTTGTTGTGAGAACCTCTGAAGCACTTGCAGAACCGTCTGCGTTCCAGAGCCTGCCCATGAGGCTGTCTGGATTCTGATCTGCTTCAGCCTTTCGTGCAAGTTTCGATAATCTAGGATGTACTCCTACTGATGCAGAGGCCTCCTCTACTGTGGTCTCCGTTTTCGGAGGTACCTCACTTGCAGAGAAAGGATGCTCCGTGTTCGGAGTTCTAAGGTCCTCAGACTGTGGAAAGGAGAGTGTCTTCTTGTGAGAAGATCTTGCCTTTGGAGGCTCAGGAGGTTGGCGTTTCTTTGCCATTTTTGGCAATTCCTCTTCGAGAGTTCTCCCATGATTCTCACACCACTTCTTTGACATGTGTGTCAATGAAGGCATTTCTTCGTTGCAGTAGTCACTCCACCAGGCTCGAACCTTTTTAAGTTCCTCATACTGTTCAGACACCCAGAGTTGTTCTGTAGGTGCGAACATAGCGCTGATGGTGTGGGCCTGCACCACTTCCGGAGTGGCGAACATACCGCCTTCCGAACGCCACAAGTTTGTTACCGCGTTAGCCAGGTTTGTGGCATCAAAAACGAGTAGCAGTGGCTTGTTGCGCCTCAGTCCTATGGCGGTTGGACGGACGAGGTTCAGTAGAGCGAACTGAACTGTGTCCCTGTTGGGACGTCCGTTCTCCGTCACAAGAGCTTGATAGCTCTGTGATGTGACCACTTGCTTCAAGAGAGATGAGGGAACGAGACCATGCCTCAGAATCGGCGCGAGGGCCTCTAGGTCTGTGGCATGCATGATGTAACACCGCTCGTCCTGTTGGACGTAATCCCTCATTCCGACAGGTATTGATGCATTCGTGGACTGTCGCTGTGCAAGGGATTGCACTGGGTTTATCCCCGATGCCATGAAATCACCTACGGTCATTTGTGACCGTGGCCTATGTTCCTCTGGATCTGGTTCTTCTTCTCTGGTTAGAGAATGTCTTTCGCTGTGTCCCCCAACTGCAGCTAGGTAGATCCGTGTCATTTTTGACACATTAGCATCTCGGGGAATAGTAGGGCCGGCTTCGGTCGAAACAGAACGATCATTCTTGATGTAGTCCATTACGACCACGAACCTCTGCTTCGTGTTTAGAATGACGGCAAGCGCCATTTCTTGAGGCGAGTATTTTGCGAGATGGTTCTCGGCAAGTAAGTCCAGAGGTAGCAGGTAATTGTGCTTACCTACAAATAGATCCGGCCGATCCTTGGAGAGGTGTCTGGTCAGATGTGCCATCCACTTGCCGATCTGATTGACCTTAGCCAGAATGTGGAGGCACATCTCTCTGGAGAGTCCAGTCGAGTTTACCAGGTTTGGTACTGACTGTTCGTAGTGGTACTCTCCGGAGCCAGTGAGTACGACACTGTCCAGTACCTCCTGTGGAAGGCCTGTCTGGAAGTGATGGGCGCACATCAGTGAGAAGTCTCTTGGATCTTGCGCATGGTTGCGCGTATTCTGACCCCAATAGATCAGCGGACTGCAGTCCCAGGGTCCACGGAGGACTCCTTGGTACATTTCAGTTCCATTTTTGGAATATAGATTGAGCTTTGCTCCTCTTGTATGTCCGTCGTGGGATATCATGGTTGATACTCCCTTGAAGACGGATTCTCAACGCGAACCTGGCCAATAAAGATGACCATGCCTGGTTTCTCGCTCCTGTGCACCCGTTGTCCACCGTGGTCGGTGTATCTCGACGCCTGCTGGCGTGACTCAGGAAATGGCATATCCATGTGTGGATGTCGGCCATGATGTGCTGCTACTGCGCCTGGTAAGGCGTGTCCCTGACGACTGTTGAAGTTTGACCTCGTAGCCATACGGGCCCTGGGGTCAAAGGTGTTGCACAAAGGCAAAGTAGGCTTTGAAAGCTGTAAGCTGAAAGCGGCTGCGGAATACAGAGAACATGGATCACTCATGCACATGTATGCGCAACAGAGAATGCAGCATGCAGACACAAACTTTCTTTTAGACAAAAGATAGTCTAAAAAGAAAATCCAGCACATGCTTGTGCGGTAAATCGCCTTGGTTACCACCAGACTCCCTGACAGTAAAATATTTTGTAGATCTCTGTTGAGATATCAACTCCAAGGAAGGCTACTGCAGACGCGGCGTTCCTTAGGTGATCAATGATCCATTTAACAGTAAAAGCCTTGTGTTGTAACAGATCTCGAAATGGAGGATGTATGTCAGTTTCGGGAAGATTCCCTGTTTCTAGAGCCTTGATAAGCTCATCTGGCTGTGCTGAATGTTTCGTAAGGGCATCGGCTAAGCAATATTTCGAACTGACGTGAGCCAAATCATCCAAGGAACCAGAGTTAGACTCCTTTCGGAGCATCTGAATAAGATGATGAGTTTCTTTCTGTTCCGGAAGATGAGTTGTGCCCGCAGTAGTGACCAAATTGTTCGCATCAGTTCTTATGTGTATGGGCACTGTCTCTGATGAGAGATCTGCCCAGAGTCCCTTAAGAAACAAACAGGTACCAAAACAACGCATGAGTGCATTTAACTCTGCCACCGTAGTGGGCATTGTCGTCGTAGTAATCTTGTGAGATTCATAGTCTACCAGGCTACCTCGTGAGGATGTTTCCTTAATGGAGGACTCAGAGAAATCATTCTTCTTGGAGAAAGTTGCTGCGGCGGACTGTTTTACGCCTTTCAGTTTCGGATTGCGTTCTTCAGCAAGAAAAATGACATGAGCTCTCTGTGATGACTTGTCATCATTGTTCCTATAGGAAGCATCCGGATAGCCTAGAATACGAAGGTTTCCCTTCAGCGGCCAAAAACGTAATTCTACTTCAGTGGCCTTAAGGATTCGAACAAGTTTGTTCAATTCTCTGATGTCACCTATTGTTGGCTTGGCAGCCTTGCTTGCACACCTGCTGAAACGGTAACAAATGTGAGCTTGGGTCCGGCTTTGTAGCCAGTTAATTTGACCAAGAACACTTCGATATGCAGTGTGCTGTTGTGGTGTACATGGCTGCTCATTGTTGAGCTTCTTGTCAAACACAATTTCTTCTAAGGCCTCAACTGCAAGGTTCTGATTCACAGAAATGTGAGCTGGTACAGATGCTGTTGCATCCTTCCAGACTAGTCTTTGTCCTACAAACATAATATCGTTTGTGTCCTCAGAACCTACTGCAAACTCCTTTTTGATCGAATCGATCACGGCCTTACGAAAGGTGTCATCACCGGCCATGCACAAATCATCTACATGCAAACAGACTACTCCATGAACTTCTCTACCCTTGGCATTGTTGCCTGCTATGGGATCAAGGAGATAGTCGATCGCTGACTCCATTGACTTCGGTTGGGACTTCTTAAGTTCCGCCTCTGCTGCTGCAGACTTCTTACCATACAAAACATATGTACAACGGTCTGCACGAGTCGGAACAAGGCCGTAGGACAAGAGTGCCTTGTCCACGATGTTCCACCATCTGCGAGGTGCATCATTCAATCCGTAGGCGGGCTTCTTCATCCTTGCAGCTATATAAGGAGGATATCCTGCCTCAGGAGGAATTTGGCAGATGATGTCACGAGACTCATCGCATGCCTCACCTTGCAGAAAAGCGGTCTTGAGATCAATGTGTGTCAGATTCCACAGCTTGTTAGCTGCTAATGTTAACCTACTTTTTATAAATCCCCCCTCAATTACAAAACCCCACCCCCGGAACTCAATTATAAACCCCCCCTCAATTACAAAACCTTCCGGCCCAAAATCCCCGAAATTAGATACTTCTTGTTGTGTGTTGTTGTGTGAGAGAGAGAAAAGGAGAGAAACTGCAGCTACTGCGAGAGCTTGAGGACTGCAGAGAGAGAGAGAAACTGCAGCTACTGCGATGGCTTGAGGTCTGCAGAGAGAGAGAAAATGCAGCTACTGCGAGAGCTTGAGGACTGCAGAGAGAGAGAAAGTGCAGCTACTGCGATGGCTTGAGGTCTGCAGAGAGAGAGAAACTGCAGCTACTGCGATGGCTTGAGGTCTGCAGAGAGAGAGAAACTGCAGCTACTGCGATGGTTTGAGGTCTGCAGAGAGAGAGAAACTGCAGCTACTGCGATGGCTTGAGGTCTGCAGAGAGAAAGAAACTGCAGAGTTTCAGCTGCGATTTTCAATCTTGCGCAGAGAAATTTCGCGATCAGAGAGCCCAAGCTGGGGGCTTCTTGCCCAGAGTGCGGCAGAGCTCTCGCACGTGGAAGCGAGTGCACTTAAAGACATCGCAAGAGGCACAGCCGCTCTGCCAGTGACAGCGAGAGCACACCCCTGGATCTCCGAGAGTCTTGATCCGCTCGATGTCCACGAGGGCTTCTTTGCCCAAATCAGAGACATCCGGTGGAGCACCTTCCTTCAGGACCTTGAGAGCAGCCTTCTGCAAAGCCGAGAGTTCGCCCTTCTCCGCCTGGGCCTTTTTCGCCAAGAGTTTCGCCTTGTCAGAGGCCTTCTTGAGTTGAACGGCCTGGTCCATGAGATATTCCTCCTTCTCGTCCGAGAGCTTTTTGACTTCGGCCTTCAGCTGAGAGGTGAAGGTCGACAGTTGCTGAGAGCCCCTCTGCTTGGGCCCTTCGCCACGGCGGAGGGAGAGGTACTCCACCATCACGGCGAGACAGAAGAAGCCGCAGTCGTCAGAGGTCTGGGTCACCGTCGGGTAGTCGGTGAGAGGCGACTTGTCCACGTCGGCTAAGAGACCCTTCAGCTCATTTGCACATGCTGTCGGAGCTTTGTCTTTCTTCAGAGAGTCGGCGAGGAGAGCTTTGGGCGGTTCGCCCTCAGAGCCCTTCTGGAGGACGAGCAGCGTCCAGTGGTCTGGCTTCCGTGTGTAGATCGGAACGAAGAGGAGGTTGTGCTCCTGCCATTGCGTCTGTAGGTGAGCGATCAGGTACTCCTTTTTCTCGTGTTGCAAGAGAAAGCTGGAGAGGAAGGCGTCCACGAAGAACACGTCCGAGAGGCTCTCTACTCTCTCCTGTCAGAAACAGTCATTAAGTACGAGTCCTAAATGCAACGACAGAGTCCTTACAAAACAGACGAGCAGGGTCCTTTCTGCTCGAAGTGGTGGCGGACGAGAGCCCAGGCAGCATTCATTTGCTGGTCCAAGAGCATCTTCGGCTTCTTGGCAAGAGTAACCTCCACGGGCTCCGGCACGAAAGACTCGTCTTCGCACCAGAGACCACAGTTCAAGAGCACCTCCTTCTTGAAGAGTCTGGAGAGCCGCAGAGGCTGCCACTCCAGAGAATTTTTCCAGCTCTCGGAGAGAGGCATCACATCCTTCTCCGAGAGGTTCAGAGTTGCACAGGCCAGACCAAAGCTCGGCAGAGTCAGCTTCTGAGAGAGGTGCGAAGAGACCTTGCCCTCCTGGCCCACAAGGTGAGAGGGCGAGAGCTCCGCCACGATGCGGACCTGCTTGCCGAAGAGAGGGCCTTGCAGAGTCTTCGGAGGCTCTGGTGCAGAGGTCAGCTCCTGGACCTTCTTCTGAGAGCCCGCCAACAGAGCGGCAGCTTTCTTTAGAGAGTTCTTCTTGAGTCCCTTCTTCAGAGCCTTCGTCAGAGAGCCGGCCTTCCCAGAGGCAGGCTTCGCTTTGGCTTTCGCCTTCCCTGCTTCAGGGACGTGGAGAGCGAGAGCTTGCTGGCGAGAGATGTCCTTCAGCTTGAGCCGCATCGCCTCTTTGAACTTCTCAGAGACAGACCGCTTGGCTTGAGAGACGAGCTGTCTCTCAGCTTTCTTTGCGAGGATTCTCGCTTTCTCCTCCACCGCGAGAGAAGCTTCCCTCTTCCAGGCTTTCTGCAAGAGAGCTGGCGGGAGCTTGAGAACGCCGCTCTCGAAGCAGTTCCACCGAAGAGTTGGTGGCAGAGAGTCCATGTCACAGAAGTAGTCCTCCTCCTGGATGGTGAATCTTGTTCAGAGCTTCGAAAATCGGGTTAGGGGACGTTTGACAAAATTACTTGACTAATTAATTCAAGAACATACAGCTATGCTGATTTGAGAAGAGATGCAGAGTTCTTGTCGCCGTGAGCGACGTCCCAGTCCAAGAGCTCCTGGGCAGCGGCCGTGCCAGGAATCAGAGACCAGTCTGGTTCAGAGGGGATTCCATCCTGCACCCAGCCAAAGCGTGGTTCCAGCCATTCGCTTCGCAGTCTTGCAGAGCCCTGCGGCAGGTCCTTGAAAGAGGGCGTGGAGAGCTCCGCCGGCTGGAGCTTGCCGTCGAGAGGGCGGTAGGCCAGCATGCCATTCCGCCGAAGCCCTGAGAGCACCCAGTCAGAGGCATCCTCGGCACAGGCTTTCTGGGCAGAGACGATGGTCTCGCAGATGTCCTCCACAACCTCCTCTCCGCCATAGAGGTGCGGCACAGAGACTTGAATCTGCGAGAGAAGTCCTCAGAATGGGTTTGGGAGTTGAGAGCTCGAAACAAAAACAGAAAGACCAGCGCATGCGAGAGGCTGTGTCCGTCAACTGGAGAGAGGCCGTCATCTTCGGAGCGACCAGAGTCTGGATCGTGTTCCCCAAGAAGTGGGCACCAGAGACAGACTCTGTGAAAGAGGCTCCCAGCCATTCCCTCTGCACCAGCAGAGCTGGAAACGCCTCTGAGAGTTCCTGGGCCACCCAGGACAGTATGATGCTGTCGGCATTAGAGCTCGGTTGCATCATCACAGAGACGTGCTCAAAGAGGTGCGGCTTCTGGGCTCGCAGAGCTCTCCATGGCTCCATGAGCCTGCCAACAGAGGTGCCCTTCTTGTGAGAGACAAGGTTCCCTCTCCACTCAAAGGTCTCATCGCAGAGCCACTTGCCGTCTTGAGAGATGTTCGAGAGTCTGGCATGAGGCCCGCTGATGATGATGAGACCTTTGTAACAGAGGCCAGTCGGCGGCGTTCCCGGAGAGTTGTAGTTCAACAAGACCTGCCGGGCTTCGTAAGTGAGGCGGAAGCGGTCCGCGAGAGGCTCCTGCCGGCAGGAATAAGGTTATGAATTATAACAGAAACGACCCAAGTAAAACATTGCAGAGAGGTCCTGGCGTGAGCGGAGTTGCCTCTGACCCTGAGCATCTCCGGAAGAGTCTGGGTGCTGCACAACCAGACCAGAGTCCACGTCCGCCTGCCCGGAGAGTTGCTTGTCGTGCAGAGCTGCCAAGTCCTGCCGGAGAGCCGCCTGAGAGGTGGGTTTTCGCTCCCACTCGGCGAAGAGAGACCTCTTGGCACCCGCCTTTATCCAGAGCGGAATTTGATCGGCGAACAGGATCGCGAGAGAGGCTCTGTGTTCCAAGAACTGCTTTGGCTTAGAGACGTGCTTCCCCAGAGTCTCCTCGTCAGAGCAGGCAGCAAGCCAGAGAGCCCTGTCGAAAGATTGCCACGTCAAGTGGCATCTCGACTGCTCTTGGAGAGGCGTGAGCTTGGTGACGAGGTGAGGCCTCAAGTTCCTTGCAGAGCACCACTTCTCGAGACGACCTTTCAGAGACTCTTTGGCTTTGTCGCTCTTCTTCTGAGAGGCCAGCTGCTTGTCCAGCTCCGAGAGCCTCACCTGCAGAGGCGTCCGCTTTGGCTGCAGCAGCTTCGGATCAGAGAGATCCGCCTGCACCCGTATCTTGTCCATCTCCATGAGGTGGATGTAGTAGTTGTAGAGGTCCACTCGAAGCACCTGGTTCCCGTAAGAGCGCATCTCGTTGAACCACTCACGAGCCTTGTCCACCAAGTCGGGGAAAGAGTGCTTCCGACCCGCTCCTGGCAGACGAAAGCCTCTGTACGAACGCTTGAGATGCGACCTCTTGGTGCCCTTGGCACCAGTGTAGCGGTGGGGTTTGCGTGAGAGTTTGTTCTTTTGAGAGGTCTTCTTGACCAAGCTCCGCTGCAGCCACAGAGTCTTGACTCGCTTCTTCGGCAGAGCGAACTTCTTGGCGAAGTAACTGAAGAACTCCGTTTCGTCAGAGAAGCGGTCGCCTGCAACAGCGAGTTCCATCTCCTGCACGAGAGTTGCCCGCACGGCAACTGGGAGATCGCTTCTCCCAGAGCTCCTGCCTTTGGGGCGGCCTCCGAAGAACTGCTTCTTGCTTTGCACTTCGCTCTCTCGAGCTATCAAAGCTTCGTCGAGAGCTTTCTGTTCGAGAGCTTGCTTTTCAGCTACTTGAGCGATGATCTGCTTCATCTCGCGAGAGAGGGGCCGACCGCCCTGCTTGCCGGGAAGGAACCGCACTGGCTTCTGAGCTTCTGGGTGAGAGGGCTGGAAGAACCGCCGAAGAGAAGCTTGCAGGC